TACAAATGATACGAGAACTTTCACCATAAATTAATTCATATGTCCTATTATGAAAACCAGCAATAAACATAATATCTAGCCATTTTTTAACTCCTTTTCGATCTTTACTAGCACCACCACCATCATTATCTAAAATAGCAGCAGCATTACCTTCAGTCACAAGAACCCAGCCATTTACACAACATTTTGAAATTTTTCGTAATAATAATAAAGTAGTTTATCAATTCCAAGATTAGTGTGATATTGCAGACGAAGACTTCTATCATATTTAGACCTATACTATTGTTGATTATGAAATAAGACTGTTCATTCAACGCATGAAAAATTTTCTTAAATTCATTATTAATGCACAAATTAGCGATATTAAAAGCCTCAATTGGTGAAGCTTAATGACTTCTACTTCTTTTGTTATTCTTATCAAAGGAATTATTCCTGTCAACCTTTTCAAATTCGTTCATAACCATATTCCTCACATACCTACAGCTTTGGTTACATATTCCTCCCTAATGCATTTCATCTTTGAAGAATCTCAAAGATTTTAAGTTGAAAGATGTGTTATTCAATCTAACATTGAAAAAGCTGCAATTATTATTATTGATAAGAAAAATGAGAACTTTGTTTCTCCTGATTTTAATTTCTCTTATGCTATTCTTAATAACAATAATATTAATCTAATTAATACTATGATGCAACTTGGATTCTACTAGACAAATTTTTAATGTAGTAATAGTCAAGTCCTTTTCTGCTTTTTTTATTTTATTTTCTCAAAAATGATAATTTTAATTTAGATTAGAATTGATTCAGAGGAGTATAGGGTCAATCTTCAATAAATTAGTTTTTCTTTTCTTTATGAGATTTTCATTTTTCTTCTTGATTTGTATCTTATTTTATAATATTATACTTTTATTATAATGAAAATTATATAAAACTACTACACTTTAAAAAAAAAAATTTTATTCATTTTTAATATTAAGTTAAAGTACTTTAAAAATTTAACCAGTTAAAGTTATTATAGTATAGATTAATATAAAGCAAAAATTTTAATTTTGATAAAAAGGTCTCAAAGTCCCATTTTCCTAGCAAATCTTCTATATATTAATCATAGTTAACACGTCTAGACAACTATTTTGCTAAGATATTACATAGATTGCTACAATTATTAGGCAACTATCTTCTTGTCAATCTCTCAACCATTATATAAACTCAGATAAATAATCTGAAGCTTTTACCTTTCACATTTTCAGAAATTGCAATACTCAAACTTCCTTATGATTAATATTGTACATTATCAACTATTAAGATATATATAGGCAAGAATGATGATGTTAAATAGCTATACTTCTTTATTACTAGTTCAACAGGAACTGAAAAATTCTTCATCATAAACATGATAAAAACATCTTTTCTTAAAAATTTCAACCATTCCTTCTCCTGATACCTACTAGCATAATAGCCTAAAATATGAACAGAATTACTATCTATTCAGAATTACATATCATATTTACCTATAGAGAATTCCTTATATATGCTTATATAGATAATAAATTGTGAGATTTCCTGAAAAAAATTAATACCATAATCATTGAAGAAGTATTTATGATCTCTGCAAAATTGTTGAACTTTATTTCAAATATATTTTTTAACTTTCACAATAATGCTCTTACATTCAGTGATGTAAATATCATAGTTGTAAGTGCTTTAGCTCAACTTCCTCCTATCATTGGTCAATCTATATTCTGTGTAATAGTCTGGTCTTTATTCTATCTGTTATTTTTAAAAATCCTCTAACGTCAGCTTAATAATATCAAATATTACTTCATATTAGAATAAGTACGAATAGGTAACATTTCAAATGAAATATGGAATAGGTTAGAACAACATTATTTAGGATTTTGATTCAATCACCAGCAGACACATTACTTAGCACCATCATATTGTAGGATTTAAGAAAAATGCTCAGCAAATTAACAGGATGATATACAACCTTCTTTCTGTTTCTAAAAATAAGTTCTTAATTTTATAAGCCATAGATTTCGTAAATTCTACACAATGAGATTCTTCACTTTTAAATAATATGTAAGCAAAAAACAAACCTTCTGCTATTTCTTCACTTCAACTAAGTGTACATGTCATGTATCTCAACAATTCTCTTATTACTTATAGCATATGCAATAGTATGATAGGTATGGTGATTAATGTTAATTCTACAGAAAAATGTGTTAGAATCACTTTTTTCATTAAGGGATCAATAATTAATATTAACATTTACAAACAAACTCATTATTTTGAAGTTCATGGAAATAACTGCCATTGAACCCAGTTTCCTCTACAGAACTCCTTCACACTAACAGTCTATAAACTCAGGATCTAATATTACCAAAAGTGTGTTTTGCATTAGATGGAAACATTTTTGCTTCCGGTCAGGCCTATGTTGCTTTTTGTTGATATTCTAACTGGAATAATATTGAGATTTCTCACTCTAACAAATCCGCCTTTATAACAGATCCCAGTATTATTTCAGAATATCAAAGGTTAACTAACATTTTTAATATAAATTCTCACCTATTCTCATAATCCTTACAGAACTATATCACAAATAAATAATAAAAAATGATAATAAGCATAAAAAATTAATCCCATTTATTCATTTTAAATAAAATAACACTTTGTTTTCATAACAAAAACAATCTTTATTTTATTTATCAGTACATAAAATATTATTGAAAAATTAAATATATAATTTATATAAATTAATAGACAATCTTAATTGAAAAAATTATCGATGATTACATATTACATAAACTTTATTTTTTAACTAAGTAATTAAATTGATTGTCGTCTTATGATTTGTGGGTATTGAATGAAAATATCAAATAATTTTGGTTGTATTATAAACTATTAGAATCATAACAATATCGAATTTCATTAGATAATTTCATATTACAATTTACGTTATGAAAGAATTTACATTAAGAGATCGAATCTTAAAGAATTTACATTAAGAGAATTCTGATAGTATTACAAATATTTAGAATCAAAACAATATGCAAAAGAAAATAAAATCTTCCAAAAAAATTCTTATTCATATGTATTGCAAAATGGTAAAATAACATGTACTAAGATGATTTTATACTCGCAAATGGTTTATATAATGATTTCTAATAGTTTTCCTTTATATTTGTTTGCTTTATTCATTAGAAAAGAAAACTTTATAAATATAAGAACTTTCCACCTTTAATCTTCCAACAAAAAAAAAAATAAAAATAAAAAGCAATAAAAAACAACTTTTAATAAATATAAAAACTTTCTACCCGTTAAAAAAAACAAATTACAAAATGAATACCGTTATCAAATTCAATTCATTTATTTCAATTCTTTTATTGTTCTCTTTATTTACATTGTTCAATGAAGTAAACGCTTTAGCTATTGGAAGAGGTACCTTTCATTTTAAATTGATATTTTTTAATCATTTTATTTTCTTTTTAAAATGGATCTTTTCGACCCAATTTTCTTATTTATGCAGGGATTTATGCAGGACCCTAATTGTAGTAGATTGTACTGGTAAGATTTCTTAGCTTTTTTATTTTTTTTTAAAAAAAAAAATCTTTTTAATAAAATCTTTTCCATCTTTCCCGTTCTCAGGATTTCAATTTATTTCTCCTGATTCTGTTCATCTTACACAATTTAAGAATAATCACGAGTTTGAAGTAGTTTTGACAAAAGGAAGTACGCTTATGAGTGAAGTAAACGGCCTTGACTTGATTACTTTTGGTACTGGAAAATTTGTTAAAAAATTATGGAGAGGTAGTAAAAAATTCGGTGTTGATGGGAAGGTTTTGTTAAAAGTAAAGGTTAAAGTCCCTAAGCGCTTTGAATCACAATTACCTACTGAATTTATGTTTAGAAGTTGGGACCCAGTTCTTGATGCCACTTGTTCTAGCACTAGTGAATATGTTACTATCGATAAATAGACTTCTTTAGAATATGACTACTCTTAATTATTATTACTATAAAGGATAGACTTTATTAAAATATGAACTACTCTTCAATTATTAATAAATATCATTATTTAATTATCAATTTTTTAACTGCAAAATTAAAGAAAAATTTATTTATTAGTCCGGAACGAAGTGAAGGACTATATATGTCTACGCAAAGTGTTCCGATGTCCGCCCGCTTAACCTGTAAGTAGATGCCATGTGATTGGTTCCTACTGTTTTACAACGAATCATGAAATCGACAAAATAGAAATACGATATACATGTATTTTATTAAAAAAAAATAATAAACAAATTTTAAACTTTTTGAAAAACAAACAAAAAAATTATACTTTTTAATTTATGCGTTCTTTGGTTATTATATATAAATCAAAAAAAATAAACTTCTCGTTGCATGACAAAATATACTGCTAAATCTATCATTACTAAATGTGCGAAAAAAAAACCCTCTTTTTGTACGATTTGTTTTTTTTTTCCTTTGCACCAATATACTAATCCTGTTCTTGAGGTATTAAAGAAAGTAGGCGCTCTTCTTCGTCTTTTCTTTCTTGAAGTCTTTTGCAAGCTTTTATTCGTTGAAGCCTGTTGAAGATAAACTGCTTAAAGAAATATCTCTAAGAGAACGGACTCTCGATACCATGACAAACGAAAGACCCGCTGCGAATTCTCGACTCCTGAGATATATTTTAGTTCTTGCCAAAGTGAGTCCCTGACTCTTGTGAACTGTTATTGCCCACACGAGACATATTGGAATTTGAAGCTAAGAACAAGCCATTTCAGATTTAGATTCCCAGATGCGTTTAATAGGTACGATCGGAACAACGTTGACATCTCCAATTTTTGTGATAGTGGGTCCTTCGTAATGATCGAACTTGATGAAAACTGCTGTAGGAAGTGAAGGTGGTCTCTGTTTCTCAAATAGAATGTCTTGTACGGTTCCCATTGCACCGTTAATTAAACCGGCTTCAGTTCATAAATTTGCCGTGAGCATTACGCAAGTCCTTTTTGCCAGTAACAGTTGAATCTCAAGTCCTTTCGCCACATCAGAGTCAGCTTTTTTTGCCTCGCTTCCTCTACTATGTATCGCTGTAATCTTTGCTACTGGTCTGTTCAACGAGTTGAGCATCTCTATGTTTACTTTGTCTACATCAT